AGGCGGAAAAACCCAACGAATCTGGAATAATGGACTCGCCACGAAGAGCCACCAAGAAAAAGACTCAATGCTGAAGGAAAGTTCCTGTGCAGCCTGCTTCCAAAACAATAAGGGTTATTTTGGATTGGACCTCCCCACTTTATCTAATCTCCCCCCTGGATGTTATGAAGAAAGGGCACAGGAATCTGATCCCCCCCTCCCCTACCCGCAAAACATCTGTGGATGCGCTCAGTGACTGTTGATAAACTTCCATCTTATCAAGGACATTGCCTGTGGTCAACGCTAATGGACAAATTGAATGCACTCATCATACACATGCAACTAACGTCTCAATATGTCAGATTGACTTCATGTGACTCCGCCCCTGGTGTGACCCTCTGCTGAAATGTCTGTCTTGCGTTTACATGTGCTTTTCTCAAACTGTATCCTGTCCACAGAGATAAAGGCAGCGCTATGGCGAACCGCCTGGGACCTGGGTGGCCAGGTAACCGGTGCGGACCTGGGAAGCCATAAGAACGCGCCAAAGGTAGCGTTCTGCAGCACGCATGGCCTCAGTAAAATCTGTTCCTCCCATCCCAATGAATGCGATGAACGGTTTGTACTGAAATTGAAATCTCGATTGCAATATAAATTGAAGTTTCAATAAAGATTGATTGAATGATTGATAATTGAAATGGATTGTTACACCTCTGGTTGTCCAGTTCATCCATAGATTTAGTCAGCAGAGGGAGAGAAGAGATGCAGGAGGAACTGGAGGAAACAGAAAACATGCTGAACTTATGAGTTATATTTAAAAATAATTGTTTCCCCCCCACTTCTATAATCTAAATTTCGTCCATGTTTTGAGGCTAGAATGGAAAGAGGTTTATTGTGGCGCAGCAGGAGGATATATTTTATCTAATCACACGTTGACACCAAGCAAACACGCTCAGCACAGCAGTCCAGTTATTTTCCTTCATTTCTTCCTCATTATCCAGCAGAGCTGAGAGGCAAATCACCATTCTTCACGATCTTTATCATTTTTTTGGATCCGTTATCTTTGGAAGCAGAAAACAATGTTGGTTTATGATCCAGCTGAGCTCCTGAAGGGGAACCTCCACATTTATGGAAGATTGTGGATTCCAGTTAGAATTAGTATAACAACAGCATGGTTTTAATGGTTTTGATGGAAACAGGGTTTGTGGAGTAAAAGTTGTGGCCATTAAACAGCATAAAAACTTTCAGCTGGTGTGAACATCACAGCAAGTTAGTAAGGAAACCGACTCTGTTCCAGTAAATTTATCCCATTAGTTCGCCTGAGAAAAGTTTCCCACACGTCTGGCAGAAACGTAGTTTCTCTAAGCAAACATTTCTCACATTCTCTGGAACTTCTGATTGCAGCTGAACAGACTTTGATGAAGTTTATGTTTTGTTTATTTGGACTCTTTTTCTTATTCATGACTCGCTGTGAATCTGAAAACTAATCATTATTCTTTCTCTTCAGTTTTCTCACAGACAGCTTAATGCTAAGGGTTTTATAAAAACAGGTCCAGATGAAGAAAGGTGGGAAATATGTTCATTTCAAACTGCTTTCAGTGATTTTTAGTTGTCCTTCATATTATTATTGTATATGAACGACAAACGGTT